ACTATAGGAGGCTCGCTTTCTGCTTCCTACCTCTAGCCGCCATCTTGGAATCCCTCTGTTCGATGTCATTGAATTGCCTTCATACTTAAAAAAAAATGAGTCCTTTTGTTGCTTATAAGCTGAATTGCTTGGATACCAGGTATTTTATGCCCTGGGGATGACAAGCATATCTCAATGGGAAGTCTGATTGGCTAGTGGTTGGTGCTCTGAATAGAGTGATGGGCTACATCTAGGGTTGGTCAAAAAAGCATGAGGTCAACCAGTAATGTCTATCATGAATACAGGGAAAGGCATTGGGGACATCTGTGGCCTGTTGTTTTCAGTTCTGGCATGTACATCCCAGTCTGTACTTTCAATCAAGGGGTGTCCCTTTTAGGCATACCCTTCCCTTGATTCCCTTGATTGGAAGGATTCTAATACAGCATGGATGCAAGCTAATTGTAAGTTCACAGATAGGACTAGCATCCTCGTACCTAAATCATCAACTAAGTAGCTGATTATTTTTTAGAACACATGTACAACAAATGTGCCTTGTTTCTGGGTAAATTTGGTCTTCTTGTTCCACTGTGCCAAGGTTTTTAGTGGTCTAGATACAGATCTCCCTACCAGCTCTTTGCCACCAGTTCTGCACCAACTTTTATCAATGTACCAACACCAGCACTGCTCTTCGGCATATTTTTGATTTTTTAAAAAATGGAGCAGTTCAAGATTTGTATTTTCTCCTAGAACTCTGCTTTTGGGCAGATGTTGATCCAAAAATCAGCATTCTTTGGACATAGTCATTGCATGGTTATGACTCTATCAATTTGGACTGTTTTCCTGCACATTTTAACCTCCTTTTAATAAGTATTTTATGAGAATCTTTGGTTACTGCCTGGATAAAATTTGAGTTAACTATCTACGATGGCAAAATTGTGAAATCCTGACTAGAAATGAAGGTGGCAACCATCTTGTCAAACCCACTTATTTGACAAATGAAGACATCGAACCTTAGAGAGAGAAAGAAAATAGACATTTGTCACATTTATTAATGTAGTTAGTGGTGGAGTGAAGACAAGAATATTGGTCTCTTATGTTTTGGATTTGATTTTCTTCTCTGATTACGTCAGAATATTGTGAGATCAAGTGGTTAGTGTGATTTTTCCTATTTACAGGTAGGTAAACTGAGGCAAAGAGAGATTTTTTTGTTGTTGTTGTTGTTGTTGGTAATCTTCAGGCAGGTTGTACAACAAATAAGGGGTATAGTTAAGCTGAGTGTTCTGATTCACAAGTAAGTTTTATTTTCAAGGGATGTGAGGTTATTTTTAAGTAAAAAATTAAAGATCACACAGTATAGTATAGTATGGTCTAACTGTAAACAGAGTTTACAGTTAGAATCAAGAACTTATAATAATCTAGTTCCATGATTTTTTTCCAATAGGGCTTTGAGGCAAGGCTTTTTAAGGATGAGGAGGCCAACAGTTGAAGTGACTCAGGGCTGGCCACCATACTTGAGTCTGGCCACAATAGCAAGCAAGGAAACCTTACTTATGAGATTGGGATTCCCAATGTAATGGTAGAGCAAGCAGCAACAAGTGATTTGAACGAAGGGAGTGCCCCAAAGAATTTAACACAGATTCATTTGAGGGTAAGGAAAAGAGGCTAGGAGCTAGAGAGGTGGTGGTCAAAGATCAGAAATGTTGCCCTAGCATGCTAAATGTGTGGTAGGAAGTGATTTTTTGGTGTGTTTACTGTGGAAATAAATTCTCAAGGACATTTGGCAGCACAGTTGTTCACAGTAGCTGGGGACTTCTGTAAGGGCAATATCCATGCCTTACGGCACCAATTATACATACACTGCCCTAGTATTTGGTAGTCATTGTGGAAACGGCCGTTAAAGGAAATAAACAAGAAGACAGGCCTACTTCTTGGTGAGTGACTGATCTGGGGAGATGTTCAAGAGGCCTGAAGTTTGTGACACGTAGAAGGTAGTAGGCTTCAGTGCATTCTCTGATGGAGAGATCCTCCATCCTCTGTTATGTTTGTGGGATGAATGGGCTCTGTGACCTCTTCCTTTACCCGCAGGGGGGGCAAGATTAGAAAACTCTAGGGGTATTCCAGACTGGAGGGTGGTAAAGCATAGTGCTTCAGGCAGTTAGCCTTATGTGAAAATAAAAGCAGATAATCCTATAAGACATCCCTAAGGGGTTTCCAGAAAATCCAGGTGACTATATTTTGGGTGTGCTATATAGAGAGATACATACATGAGGTTGTAGTAAATGTCTTTAAAGTTCTATCTTTTTTTCCCCACCAATTCTGAGATCTTAAGAGCTAACTATGTAATAGAGATTGCTAAGATACGGTATAGTAATTTAAGGACTCATTATGCATGTGTGAGGAATTGTCAAGTATAGATTTCTGTGATGTTAGGAGATATTAGGCCAAATCTACCCTCTCCATATCTTCAAATTCACACCTCTGCATTCTTTCCCACTTCCCTTGTGCCTCACCATCTGTCACCTGCCCTGTCTCTATCTGGCCCATCTCTCTGTGTGACTATGTTTATCTTGTTCTGAAGCCTTCCTTAAAGCCTTTCTCTTTCCCTTGTACTCAAAAATATTCACAATCTCTTTTGCTTTAAAGAAAAATCTTCATTTGACCTTTCTGCTCCTTCCAACTTCCTTTTGTCTCCTTCAATACTGAAATAGGTAGTTTTCATCTTCTGTCTTAATTTTTGAGCTTATGATCTTTCCACTTCTTTGAATCTGAACTTTGGGGGTCAATAATTATGTCATCATGACCAAATTTAAATGTCTTTCCTCAAGGCTAATCCTTTCTGAACTGTAGAATAATATTAATAATGGCTCCCCATGCACAGCTACCTCCCCCATCAACACAGCATAATATTCCTGTTCAAGTTCTAGATAATGTCTTACTTTTCATGCATTCCTGTTTCTCACCATCCTTTACCTTTTCTGTGCATTTCTCTTGTTTCTGTCCTTCAAAGTTCTGGTGTAGCTATTTTAGACACTTACTTTGCAAACCTCACTCACTTCCATGGTTATAACCTCTTTTACACAGAAACTGTTTGAATTTACATTTTCACCCTCCCCTTCTTTGTTCTCTCTTTGATTGCTTCATCTGTAGGTCTCCCCTGAAGAGTTCATTGGCAGTTGAAACTTGGCTTGTTGGAAATGAACTCACCATGGATACTTCCTGCTTATCCAGACAGTTCTCCTCAGCAGCCCATTAGCATCTGGGTTATCACTCTTGGGAGTTTCTCTAAAGGAGAATACTTTCTGAAGCTGTCTCTTCATCACCTATCTGACTTCACAGCACCTCAGTGTCACTTTCTTTGCATGTAGAAGGTACCTTAGTCCACAAACTGGTCAGTCCAATGCTTGAAAGGCTCCATGTGCCTTCAAGCTCAGAGCCTTCCTGCCCTTGCTCCTCATCTGTCATCATCTTTGAGTGAACCCTTGGTTCCCCAAAATATACATTTCTCACCCTAGTCTACTGAGCTCTAGAGCACTCTGCTGGTCTTCATCCTGACCCCTCCCACAAGGTGTCCCTTTGTTCTACTTTAGCAAATCTGCTTGCTGGAAATGAGTGCCACGTTTACTTCCACCTTCTCAGGAGGTCCTGTGCATTCATTGAATTGGGATGCCAGAACAACACAGTACAGATCAGGCAGCTTCAAGAACAGAAGATTATTTTCTTATAACTTGGCTAGAATTCCAAAATCAGAGCATAAGCAGGTCTGTCCCCTGGATTTTCAGACAGTCACCTTCCCTGGGTCCTCTTGTGGTCTTCCCTCTGTAACTGTGTCCAAATTTCCTCTTATAAGGATGCCAGTTTTGCTGGATTAGGAACTACCATAATAACCTCATTTTACCTTAAAAATTACCTTTTTAAAGATTTCTTCTCCACTTACAGTCACATCTTAAGGTACTGGGGATTAGGATTCCAATATAAATTTTGGGAGGACACAATTAAGCCCATAACATCTGTTTCCAGCTTCCCATCTGTCCTTTCTTGCTTCTCCCTCTTTGTTCTTTTTCATTGTCTGTTCCTCACTGCCATAAGAAACCATCAGTCCCCATTTCATTGTCTTCATTGGATGACATCACCTTATGGGGGTCGGCAGACATGGAAGTGCTGGTTCATAATTGCCTTCACCAACCTGCTTCTTCTTCAGGTTAGGCCAAGGCTCCTCTGTTTCTGACTCCACTTAAGAGTTGGGGCTGTGTCTCTTGTTCTTTGCACTTTACTCTTGACACAGGAGAGACGTGAGAAATGACATGTTATGTTACTGTGAGTCCCTCCTCTAAGGCAGCACAACTCAGCCCCTACTCTAACTTCTAGAAAATTTTCAAGGAAATGGTATTTTCCAGGGTGGTGATGGAAAATGCAAACCCTGATTCTGATGACAGAATGAGGACGGTTAAGACATCCACAGAGACATCCACTAGCTCAACTCCTCTCCAAATCAGAAAAGCCAGGAAGGAGATTTAAGAAGCCCTGAAACAGTAGTGAATTCAGGAATTTTCTGCTAACACAATAAGGACAAATGTTCCTTTAGGAGCTTTGGATAATATACTATGTCTTTGACCTAAGGAGGTAAATATTCTAGATAAAACCCACTTCCTTCCAGAATGGTAGATTGGCTAGGAGGTTAATCTTATCAGGAGGAGAGCTCAGTTCTTGGAGGAAGCCTATTGACTCTTGGTGATCCTCAAAGGAAGACAGCTGGGTGTCATAGACTATGAGCGGTGTTAAGGTGTGTTCGTTGGGTTGTGAGTATGGTCTGGGTGGCTTCTGGGTGACACCTTGGATGTGCATTGTGCAGTGGCATGGGAGAGACTTTTGGAGGCTGTGCTCAGGAGAGACACCTGTTCAGTTAAAGATAGACCCACCTTCCTTCTTCTCCCTCTCTTCTTTCATCCTCCCTGCTTCCTTCCTCTCCCTTCATCCCTTTTCTTCTCTCTCCCTTCCCTGCCCTCTCCCCCATTCACTGTCAGGAAGGGCCATGCCAGAAGGGCCCATTCAGCGTGTCGTGGCAGCGGCAGAGGCTAGCAGCACCGGCAGCTTCCACAGTGAGTCTGGATTTCATTTCTGGGGCTAGGGGCTGGGCAAGGCCATCCATGCCCAGATTGACAGCTTGCAAGCTTTGGAGAGGAACTTCCATGGGCTGAGGATGGCTTCCAACCTCTCCTTCCCTGCCTCCCACCATAGGGGCATCATTTCATTTCCATGGAAGCTTCCTGCCAAAGCCATCCATGTGCTTGGGATTTCTCATGGGGAGGCAGCATGGTGAGGGGGGTGGGGCCATGATCTGCTAAAATTAAGTGCACAGCCCCTGGAATTAAATGGCTGCCAGGGCTGGACTGCGTGGTGGTAGAGGCTGGAGGCTCTGCATGGATGGTGGTTTGGCTGCTTTCTTGCATTTCAGGTGGTGTGACCTTGAATTCCATGTGTACTTGGGGTGCCTATGCTCCATGAAATATTCCCTTTAAGGAACTAGGACCACCCCAAACACATAGGCTAAGGGGCCTGAAGACTGGGAGGTGTCTCTTTGACCTCAGATTAATTTTGATCTAAAAATGTGATGTTTAGGACGGGTTACAGAGCCTCTTTGGCTGAGTCATCCACGAGTGTTTCAGAGGAGATTTTTACCCTCCCCACTCTAATTTCTATAGTAATTTCTGGCAAGGAGGTGGACATACTGCAGAGTCAGTTGAAATTCCATCTGTCCTGCCTTGCTCATCAGATGGAATTGGATGGCTTTTTTCCACTTTTTGCCTAGGGCCTTTTTCCTTCTCTTTTGGGAATGATCTGCTTAAAAAAACAGAAACACAAAATTCACCTGCTGAACCTTAAAAATCCATCACAAGTCTTGTTGTCATCTTGAGAAGTTTCCCCACCACCCAGATGCTGTTTCCAAACACCAACTGAGTGTGCTGTCATTAGTGGATGTTGAAGTGAGAAACTTCTGGTTCCTAAAACTTCATATTAGCTGAGGCTTCAGTCTCTTGGGCAGGTTGCATGAAAATGCTTTTACAGTTTTATTCATTGTTCTCCTGATTTTGGTTAGGGAGGTTAATTAAGCAAAGCCTTCCAGGTTCTCCTGGGCTGTAGTTTTATAGGCTTCTCCTCTTGATACTGCTACCAATAATGGCATTAAAGTTTAGGATTTTTCAATGCTGGTATTGCTAGAGTCTAGCAGAATAAACATGCCAGACAGCCTTGTGAGAATTTCACAAGCAGGACTATTATAAGAGCTTAGTCTTTTCTTATACTTTTAAAATACTGTGTGTATTTCTGTCACTTTTGATTCAAATTCTTGATTTCAGGAGTTGACAAGTTTTATTAAAATACCAAATCGATCAAATTTATTAATTCCATTCAACAGATATTTGTAATCAATTGAGTCTATTTAATTGTCTACAAGTGGACACTTCTAGTGTGAAAAGGGAAGTGATTAATAATGAAATAGGGACAAAGTATATAAATTTAGACCTTCCTTGGTAAATTAGGACACATAGTTACTTTACCATATATCCTGAGCTATTGTAAGTGCAAGGAATACAACCATGAATAAAATAGACAAAAATCTCTGTATCGAAGAGGAGGAAATAGATGATAAAGATGAAATCAGATATAGAGTAAATTAGAAAGTGATGAGTCCTTAGAAGAAAAATAAGAAAGAAAGGAGAAAAGAAGGGCTTGGTAGTAGTAGTGGTGGTGATGTTAGTGGTGGTGGTGTTAGCGGTGGTGGAGGTGGTGGTGGTGGTGGTAGTGAGTGTGTGTGTGTGTGTGTGTGTGTGTGTGCAGTTTTTGATAGGGATGTCAAAGCAATTGAATTGTAGAAGATGACATACCTTAGTTCATTTCATTTCTCCAAGAAGGGATTTGTGGTTTGGCTAAAGCTTTCTGAAATTAGTTAGATCTGAAAAGTTTTAGACTTTTATGAAGAAATGTTCATACACTTCAGCATAACAAAAATCACATGGGTGGCCAAGACATTGGATGTGTACTTCGCTTGATACCACTCATGTCACTAAGAGGGCATAGGAAGGTGAATAAGGCTGGATTCACTCATCTGGGGAGCATCTTTGTAGAAAGTCCCTTAACTTGTGATTGATTACACTGGTCATTCATGATAGTTTAAGACACTCCTTTCATTTGGTGTCCTTGGCATTGGCATTGGGGAAAGCAATTTATATTTGGTGAGCACCTATTGTGCAATTTTGCTTATTTAATCTATACTCTTCCCCCAGAATAAGTTCCCACAGTCCCACTTTAGGGATGAGAACCCAAAACATTAAACACAAAACTATAAAATAATAGAGCCAAGATTTTAAATCCAGGTTGACCTAAGTGTGAAACCATGCCTTTATCAGTTAGCCTCAGCATCCATACATAGATAGCAGTTGGCAAGAAGCAGGGGGAAAGAAAAGAGAGGAAAGGTCACCTGGGCTACCCCAAGGTCCTGCATATGGGCTGATCTGCATGGCTGGACCAGGAGCATTACTTGAATTAGGGTGGTTGTCAATGTCCTTGCTGACTATGCATGAAGACAGAGCAATGTGAACGGCTTTTCCATGTGTTGTTGTCTTTGGGAACGGGGACGCGGATGGGAGATTTTGGAGGCATGAGAGCAAATCTTACTTTGGTGGCACATCCATCTTAGGCAAAGGTGGAAGCTCAATTTCAGTGCACTGGAGTTCCTGGATTTCTCGCACATTAGAAGGAGGGCCAATGCATGGTGTCTGTGTATAGATAATAGGGGTGGGGAGAATGCGTGCAGAGTTCTAAGACTGGACAAAGGCTTTTATGACAGGGGTTGGAGTGAAGAGTTGAGTTGGAAGAGAATTCTAATTCCTGTCTGCCCTTGTGAGTGGAATCCACAGACTGGCTTCATGAAGTCTTGGGATGCTATTAGCAAGAAGCAGGATGTCTCTGGACCTCGTCTCAGATGTTATGTTATATTTAACATCAAATCACTGGGCAACTTTGTATTTATTTGTAGTGTACTTTTATATGTTTCTCAGAAAAAGTAGCTTCGTACTTTACGTGTGAGATGGGCTCCTGAGGTTACATGGCAAGAAAAAAATCACCACTTAGACACAAAAAGACAGGCCAGTTACAATGAAGTAGAAAATTACTTTGGGGTGCCAATAAACCTCTCCAGTTTTCTAAAAGCAAGATCTTTTCACCTGCAATGCCATCATTTCTTTGGACTTCTAGGACTTATTTGTCCTGGGGTCTCAAAGCACATCAAGGCAATGTCTTTTGGTTTCACAGTTAAGAGCCATATAGATAGAAAGGTTATTACTTTGTCATTTGCCAGATTGTTCTTTACCATCACAATGGCAGCACTGCAGCGTGTATTCTAGGAGCTTGAATATCCCTCACCATAGTCTTCTCACTATTGGACTATGAATACCTGATCACATTCTGGTGCTCTACACTTTATGGATTAATATCCAGTTTCCTCTCTCACTTTGCTACACAAGAGCTAGAGTGCAAAGCATCATTTACTCCCTCCACGGGATTATTCCTCTCTGACTTATCTGAGTCCCCTCCTTGGTAAAAACAAACAAGCAAATGACTTACTTGTTCTTCTAAAGTATTGACCCATGTCAGTATCAGCTGACGTCTCTATTCTGCATGTATATATTCTGTGCATTCTCAGCTGGGAATAGGGCTAAAGATTAGAAGTACTGGGTTATATTTCAAGATGGCAAGGCTATTTCTTCTTTTCCTGGTTATATATGGCCCGCTCTGCCATTCACACAAGAGGGCATGTCATGATTCTAGGAAGAGTTTAGTCATAACTTGAAGGACCATGCCTAGGACATAGACGTAAGTCTAATGACACATGGTCACAGTTGTGCTTCCGTCCTGGAACTTGCTCTAAAACCTGATCATAGACATATTATTTACACTAACATACTGGGAGACCAGTAGGATATCCCTACCCAAATTCACCTAGCTTTGCTAATGAAACTGAAAACACACAGCTGTTTCTTTGCAAGCCAAAGACACTCAGGGTTGCTCAGGACAGGTGGATCACGTTTCTTAGAATGGGATATTTTCCAGCTATCACTGTGAGGTAAGTCTGGGTGCAATGAAGTTGTCTATAAGCAAAGGGGCATTCTAAAACATTCAAACACAACATAGTGCAACAGTCCTGAAATCATGAAAGTGCCTTTCTGTCTTTTCATTGCCATCTGAAGTCCTGTGTCTCAAGATAGTTAAGATTGGCTTTTTGGGGGGGAAAACTAATATATTTGTTTATGCAAGATGACTCTTAATTCATATGGTGTCTCAGATCTTCATAAGTTTAGGGAGATCAGTTGAGTGTTCTCAGGGCTAGTCCTCTGGGTTCTCACATGGAGAATTACCCAAGATAGGAACTCTGATCATTAAATGGTAATTAAACCTTGATCTCCTTGTTCCCTTAGCATTTTTGCTCACTAATGACCTAAACAGAGTGTCTCAGATCATAGCCTGTCCCTAGATCAAGATAATAAGAGCTGCCTGGAATGAAGCAGAGCTCAGGTCTTCAAGTGAACAGGCTATGGGAGCTACAGCAAGAACAGAGGAAAGAAGAGAATCTTTCCCCTTGTGCCATCCAAGACTGGTCACAAGGAAAGTTGTCCCAGTCCTTATAATGAAGAGTCAATGATTCTTTATTCCTCAGTCTGGTCTTCATCTTCAAAGTTGGTTAAGTCCATTTGCGTCTGGAATCATTTTAGGGCAAATGACTCTGAGAAATCCATATGCCTGGAGAAAATGTGATGCTGCTTCTTGTCTGAAGATGCTAGTGGGATATGAGTTCTGCTGTCTCTAGGTTGATGCCTGCCTCTCTTGAGATGTCATTAATTCTGATTTTTGTAACCTCTTTCCATTCAGGCACTGTGGATAACCCTAATGGAAGACAGGCATCTGACAAGATCTTTAGCAAGTGCATCTGGTTGTAGATGGGTGGAGTGTTTATTCAGATGCTGGTGTGAGGGCCCTTTGTCCTGAACTGTGTCCCACAATGTTTTATAGCTGGTGAAGCCCTGGCATGGGGATGCTGTCATGC